GTATTTCGGACACCGATTCAGGTAAAAATTCATCATCTTATTATCTGTTATGGAATTGAAGCTTAATAATCGATAATATGGTATTTGTATAATTTAGAAAACTTTGAGAATAATTACAGGTTACTAATAAAGGCGGAACTGGTTAGTTATTTATTTGTTTGTTCTGTGTAACTAATTGTTTCCTTTTACAGCTTCAAATACATGAGAATATACTAGAATGGTTAAATAATTCAGTTGTGCTTCCTTGATGTATATTGATTGTCTTACATGATTTACGGTTAATTTATGAAATTGAAAATTAATATGCAAACGAAAAATTATTTGGTCATGTAAATTAATGAATGATAGTCTTACTGAATATATTGGGAGATGGTGAACGGACCGGATATATAGGGAACCTTACCGTGAATATTATCTCATACCGGACGGGGTATCGAGAAATGATATTTTTAGCACTCATACCGGACGGGGTATGGGACAGCCCGATTCACCCTTATATCGGACGGAGTATTGAAAGATAATATTTTTTGTGCTCATACGGACGGGATATGGGGACGACCGATTAGTTAACAAAGTTGGATATTGGTTCACGCGTAATAAGATATCCCTATGGATCCCCAGGGATACTAGTAGGCAAATAAAAAGGGAAAGTTATTATTTTTACTCACTTGAATATGATATTAGAATGTTATTTGAGTTATTGTCTTTATAAGTCAATTTAAAAAATCTCGCAACAGTAAATATATGTAATAAATGGTTTTCCTTATAATAAATGAATTTACTTAAATTAAGAGCTCCATTGATTGTTTTTATGATTTCTATCAACCTTCAGTTTCTATATCCGTGAGTAGTGTGATATTCTTATTGGGTTAGTGTAGTTTACTATTTCATTAATTATTTCAAATCAAGAGGATCATGACCCAAATCCCGATCAATAAGAGAATTGTGCATAGTTTACTACCCACATTTCTTTCAAAAATTAGTGAAGGTCGTTGTAAAATGCTCAGTATATTGTCTTTTGTTTATTTTTTTAATTTTCTTTTGTTCTTTTAGAATGAACATTCTCGTATCTCTATTAAATATTTTAAATTATTATGTAAAAAATGTAAACCTTAAATTTTATTAATTCGCTTTTGCATTTAATTTATGATTTTATTTTTTTTTTAAAGTTTCGGACTTTTACATTAATATACTAAAATTACTTTTCTCATCTCATTATCAGTGGTTTATCTACACTTTGATTAGGAAATTTTGGAGAAATTTCCTTGCAGGTGACCTCAGAAAAGTTAAATTGAACAACTTACAAGTCAACATTTACTTGGTCTCTTGAAGTTTGGCAATTTCAACTAGTAGCATTTCACATCTCCATCTATGTTCTTTGTAATGTAAAAAAATCTAGGCTGTACACAGTTAGAGAGTTTGTCTTCTCTCATCCAGGCTTGTCTTTTTTCAATAATGTGGTAGGAATAGTCCAGTAGATGATTGACAGAACTCAACTTTAAGTTTAATTAAATTTAACTTCTTACCAATTTGTTAATCTTGTCCAATTAAGCAAATACAACTCTGCCTTGAATCTCTCCCAGTTATGGAGTTCCTCTTCTCCCGATTTATGCAGAGTAATTTGGATAGTGTTGGTTTAATTATGAAATCACTGTAAATTTGAGAAGAAATTTTCTTGTAACATTGGAGAAAAATTGTTGCAGATAACCTCAGAAAAGTTAAATTCAACAACTTAGCAGTCAACATTTACTTGGTCTCCTGAAATTTGGCAATTTCCACTGGTAGCATCTAAAACTTTTTAATATAAAAATCTAGGCTGTATACAGTTGGAGGGTGTCTTTTCCCATCCAAGATTGTCTTTTTTTCATTTGCAACATTGTGGTCTGAATAGTCCAGTAGATGATTGTCAGAAGTCAATTTTAAGTCTCAATAAATTAAACCTGTTACCATTTGTTATTCTATTCCAATTAAGCAATTGAGTCTTTGCCTTGAATCTCTCCCAGGTGTGGAGTTTCTCTTCTCCTTATTTATGCAGAATATTTTGATAATGTTGGTTAATTATGAAACTACTGTAATTTTTGGAAGAAATTTTCTTGTAATATTGAATACATAGACCATAGAGCAGAGCAGAAGCTAACATGCATATTTTTAACTCAGAAAACGTGCAGGTCAAAATTAAAAGTTGAAAGCATGAGTTTGTGGATGTTTTGGTTGATTTATATGCAAGTATTCCAAGTCTCGCTCGGTTCTTCAATACATCAAGGAAATAATACGGATAAACTTTCCTTATTGCACTTTAAGGCTAAAGTTCATGATCCTCTCGGTGTATTGAGTTCGTGGAATGAGTCTATACAATTCTGCGAATGGTATGGCGTTTCTTGTGGCCATAAGCATCAAAGAGTGACAGCACTGAATCTAAGATCATCCAAATTGGTAGGTGAGCTAAGTCCTTATATTGGGAACTTGAGCTTTTTAAGGTCACTTGACCTTGGAAACAATACTTTTAACCATGTTATTCCACGTGAGATGGGTCTATTGCGCCGGCTAGAGATACTTCGCCTTGATAACAATAGCTTTAGCGGTGAAATACCAATCAACATATCACGTTGCTCTAATCTTTTTCTTCTTGGTTTAGCTTTTAATAACTTAAGTGGGGAACTCCCTCCACAGCTTAGCTTATTGTCCAAGCTACAAAACTTTTTTTGCGCAAGGAACAATTTAGAAGGTTTAATCCCACCCTCATTTGGAAATCTTTCATTGCTTACAAAAATAGCTGGAGCAGAAAATAATTTCCGTGGAAGTATTCCGGAGAGCTTTGGGGATTTGAAGATGTTAACTATTTTCATGTTTGGTGATAATAGCCTAACAGGAAGAATTCCACCTTCCATGTACAATTTGTCTTTGCTCACATATTTTGAAGTAGCGGAAAACCAACTTCATGGAACTCTTCCTTCTGACTTGGGTTTCACACTCCCAAATCTTGAATTGTTGGAATTAGTGATAACCAATTCAATGGGACAATTCCAGATTCTCTCTCTAATGCTTCAAAACTTATTTTTCTTGAAGCAGCAGTTAATCAGTTTTCTGGGCGAGCGCCAAATTTCACAGGCTTCAATGATTTGCAATACCTCAATTGGGAAGCCAACAACCTAGGAAATGGCGAAGATGATGATTTGCAATTTCTCTACTCTATAGTTAATTGTAGCAGTTTAAGAGGTCTTAGTTTTGAAAGCAACAATTTGGGAGGTATATTGCCTCGTATTATAGGAAATTTCTCTAATAAGCTCTCAGAACTTGGTTTGGGAGATAACCAAATACGTGGAAGCATTCCAAGTGAAATTGAAAATCTCATTGGACTAACTCGATTATCAATGAAACAAAACCGACTGTCTGGTTCTATACCAAGTTCAATAGGTAAGCTACAAAGTCTCGGATTTTTGGATATCTATGGGAATGAATTCTCAGGAAGTATCCCATCATCTATAGGGAACATTACTACTTTACAAATACTTGACTTGTCATTCAATAATTTGCTGGGAATCATCCCATCAACTCTCGAAAAATGCCAAAGACTGTTTCTCATACAGTTTAGCAACAATAAATTAAGTGGCAAAATCCCAATAGAAGTAATGGGTATTTCCTCTCTGTCATGGGCTTTGGACTTATCAAATAATCAGTTAGTTGGTTCAGTTCCTGCAGAAGTTGGAGAACTCGTCCATCTTGGGATTCTTGATCTTTCACATAACAAGTTAACTGGTGAAATTCCTGCAACTCTTGGTAGTTGCACAAGCTTGGAAAGTTTATATCTGGATGATAACTTTTTGCAAGGGAATATCCCTAAGGCTTTGGATTCTTTGAAAGGAATAAGAAAATTAGGTTTTTCCCTCAACAATTTATCAGGAAAAATTCCAGAATTTTTGAGAACCATTAAGCTACAAAGTCTGAATCTATCATTTAACAATTTCGAAGGTGAGGTACCAACTGAAGGAATATTCAAGAATGCAAGTGCTGTTTCGCTTGTTGGAAATACTAACCTCTGTGGTGGCATTTTTGAATTACACTTACCTCCTTGTTCAGCCAAAGGCGACAAGAAAAATGGCGGTTCCTCCTTGAAGCTAATATTAGTCTCCGTAATACTTTCAGTACTTTTACTCATCGTGGTGCTGTCTTTGATAATTGTTTATTACTTATGGAAGAGAAAACTCAAGGCCTCTTCTACACCACCATTGTTGGTTTCAATGTTACAAGTTTCCTACGATAATCTACTCAAGGCCACTAGTGGATTTTCCTCAGACAATCTAATTGGAAAGGGTAGATATGGTTCTGTGTATAAAGGAATTCTTGATTATGAGCAACAGACGGTTGTCGCCGTGAAGGTATTTAACCTTCAACATCAAGGAGCAACTCGGAGTTTCTTAGCAGAATGTGAAGCCTTGAGAAATATCAGACATCGAAATCTTGTTAAGATCATAAGTGCTTGTGTTAGTATTGATTTTCAAGGCAATGACTTCAAGGCTCTTGTTTATGACTTAATGGTTAATGGGAATCTCGACGAGTGGCTACACCCCGTCAATGAAGCAAGCGAAGCACCGCGACATTTGCACATTCTTCAAAGACTAAACATTGCCATTGATGTTGCATCTGCACTCGCCTACCTCCATTTCCATTGCCAGCCTCCAATTGTTCATTCTGATATTAAGCCAAGCAATGTTCTATTAGATGACGAAATGATTGGACATGTAGGTGATTTCGGGTTAGCAAGATTTCTTCCGCAAGAAACATCACAAAACATTTCTTCTAATTCTGCAAGCTACACAGGAATACTAGGAACCACGGGCTACACTGCTCCAGGTACCATATATGATATTTAGATTGATGATTTGAAATTTTATTTTTCTGCACTGAAATTATATATACATGTACTAGAAACAAAAAAATATTTGAATTCAAATATACTATTAATTTGATATTTTTCTTGAAGAGTATGCTATGGGAATCAAACCATCAACATCTGGAGATGTGTATAGTTTTGGCATCCTCATATTGGAAATCTTTACTGGGAAAAGGCCTACCAATGAAATCTTTAAAGATGGTTTCAATCTTCACAATTTTGTTACACCTGCTTTGGCTGAAAATTTATCAGAGATTATCGATCCAATGCTGCTGCAGGAAGTAGCTGGTGAAAGCAAGATGTGGATCAATGATGAAATAAAACAATGCTTGGTTTCTGTATTCCAAGTTGGAGTTGTGTGTTCTGCAGAATTTCCAAATGAACGACCGAGCATTTGTGATGTTGAAGTTCAGCTGCAATCCATCAGGAAGAAACTTGTTAAGAGCAGAGGATACAGAGAGAACCAAGGGAGGAGAAAAGCTCCATCAGCAGGTGCTTAACATTGTTCTCTTTATAATTTTTCTTTTTTCCAAGACAGAAGCATATAGGCTTATATAGTAAGCTTTTGTATAGACTTATATCCATTTTCCACGTACTTTGGTTCATTGTGTTTCAATTGATTTGTTCTGTAATTTCAGGTGTTTAATATAGCCAATATCCGAGAGAGAATCAATTATTATATGCTAGTGACCAATCAACTAGCCTAGCAACACATTAAATAAATGACCAAGTATATTGGAAAATACTATATTTGTTCATTTCCCGTCAATATAAATTTTTTGGATAATTGATCAAAAATTGATAATTTCCTGGGAATAAATTTATTGTTTGGGCAAAAACCAAAAATACAAAACTCGGTAGCAAAACAGAACAGCCTATAGAGATCACTCAAAAACAGAGTATTACAGAAAAGGTAGAAGCTTCTGTAAGGTATAAACAGTTCAAGATGAGTGTCAACTGGCTGAAACTTCGGAAACAGTTCTAGTTTCCTGAATTTGCAAAAACAGAGAAAACCCTGTTTGACTTTTAACACTCTTGTCAGGATAATCTGCTCATGTATTTACTTGGAATAGTTTGTAAGAGTAGAGATTTAGCATAATTGCAGAGATGAGAGCGAAGAATTAGAGCAGAGAGAGTAGACTCTAAATATGGAAGTTTACCAGTAATACAAATTGGATCAAATGACATAAATTTTCTTAATTTCTGCCAATATTCTCATTTTGCAATTCTCATGCTACTGTGTTTTTATCTTTACCAGTAACACAAATTGGATCAAACGACATAAGTTTTATATTCTCTAATTTCTTTCCTCGATTTTTTGGATTGCTTGGTTTTTTTATACGTGGACACAGAAGTATCGAAGAATGCTGAATCTGCTGGTTCCTTGATATGTGATTAATGATTAGTAATGTGGTTTGATGAGAATCCTTTGCCTGAACTGTTACAAGAGATTACAGATCCGGGATCTCTCTAGCAAACAATAAGAGGAAGAGGTAAGTGGTAAAAGTGACGTGCTTGGATGATTATTTTATTTATAAACATGTATGAATAAACAAAATAAAAATTGAAAAAAAAATAGTCTCCACTAAAAGGAGATTTCGGATTTCAGAATGTTAATGGTTGATAGTTTTATAGCTTATGGGGGAGAACTTGCATAATTTAGTAAGTTGATTCAACAGGAACAGAAGAAAACAGAACAGAGAAGAAACAGAGAAGAGAAATTCTTGAAAAAACTCTTGTACTTGTGTATCTTGATAAGCCTTTTACTTTGAATGATTCACTGTAAAAGTGATCTAAAACTATCAACACCTGACACATGAAACATATATAGAACAACTATCAGCATCTTACTTTTGAGTAACCAGACTTATTTGAACTCCGTAACAGCTTCAATAACAACTGAATATTACTTATGCCAAGTGCCCACTTTGTACACCAGTACATGAATTCTATGACTTACACCACACATAGAAAGAAATCTGTAAATAATGTATGTATATAGAAATCTGTAAATAATGTATGTATATCTATATAATACAACATATTAAACAAAATACTATGGTTTCTTGTTGTGAAGGATGTTAGGAGGGGAAGGAGGAAGATGTGGTATCCATGTTTTCGGGTCACCAAGATTAAAAGCCGGAGGAGGAGGGGGAGAAAATGAGGGAAAATTCGGAATCCAAGTCCTCGGGTCTCCTAGGTTAAATGCGGGTGGAGGAGGAGGAGGAAACAGAGGTGGGGCAGAAGGAAAAGGAGGGAGGGGAGGGAAAAGCAAGGGACCAGAACGGAAAGGCGGAGAGGTTG